CTGACAAGGCTTCCCATCTCCTTTCATTTTATGCTGTGACATGAAACTTGGGTGTTGCAATCAATACTTATCTGCTTTGCTCTAGACTGGTTTTTATGCTGTGATTACCACTGTAATAACTAAGCTCCTTTTTGAGCCAAAGTGGGTATCTTTAGACTGTCAGGTGGAATTTGGGAGAATCCAGACTGTTCTCTTCTCCATGAAACAGCCTTGCTGGGCTGAGGCTGGGGAAGTGGGATCATGAATGAGATTCCTGGCAGTTTTGTACAAGTTTCACACTCTGTAACTGCCCTAGGAAAACTGAATCGTTTGCTCCTCAGATAGTTATGCACAATCAGTAAAAGCCTCAAGTGTTTGACCTTGAGCTGAGCCCCACAGGGATCAATACAGCTTTGTCTCCCTGCCACAGCTGCTCAGGCTGCCATCACACATGGGTACCAATATCATGGCACTTGCCACAGTGCCCATCAGCAAGGCCCCTGGGGAGGTGTCAATAACCGATGTCTTGTGGGAAAGGAGAAGAAACATGAATAAGACTGTTTCTGTTAACCTGAGTACAAGCTCTTCAGGACAGAAGCTGCTTTTTTCTTCCAATTTTGTCCGCCCATCCAGCGCAACAGGCCTGGCAACGAGATCTCTGGGACTGCAAAGGCCTTGCAACTACTGTCCATGTTCATATTGCTGTTAACCCAATTCACAAGAGGCCACTCTTTAGGGCTTCTGTTGAGAGGCAGTTTATTGATAAGAATATGAACATACATGAATCTTTATTTTTCCCAGGAAGCTCTTTTTCAGTCAACCAGGCAGTTAGCATGGCTCTGAATAAGATGAAGAGATGAGGAATGATAAATGTTAAAGCCTCTGGACTGTGCTCTCAGCAGCTTATAGGTAGGGAGAAGTTGCGTTAGCCTCAATAAACATAAGTCAAGAAAGATGTGAAGTAAAAGTAAGATGAGCTCAAAAGCAGGCTTTGTCTACAATTGGTAAACTATCTTAATGGATTATTTTCTTGTCTGTGTTAGTTGTTATCTTGGTGCACAGTACAGGGAAAACAAAGCATCTCCTAACACAACTAACCATAGATGGGTAGGCTGCCTGTGGTAGCCCACACAGAATGTGTCAGTGTGATAAATGATACATGGCCCTGTGCTGGGACCTTTTCCAGGCTGTGGTGCATCTACTAGAAATTTGATTGGTCTACATTCAGTAAGGAAAAAAAAAAAAAATCTATACTTTTGTGGGCCATGGATCATGTAGGTTATGAGTTAATATTAAGGAGAAGAAAACAAGAGGCTAACACTCACTCTTTGTACAAAGTCACAGAGGGGAGAATCTGGGTTTTGTCCCTTTTCAAAAGATGAGAGACCAGAGCATATCCCCCTAGTGAAATATTTCCAATGCTGACAAGTGCTAACTCATGTAGTCTGTGTAGGAAATCATCAATACTCATCCCAGCTCTAACTGAACAAATCACAGTTTCTTGAGAAATCCAGTTCTGAGGACTGCTACAGTCTTTTCCATGGTTTACCGTCACAAACTGGGATGGCAAAAGTCACAGGGCACGGCAGGCTTAATAAACTCAGAGCCATTTCCTGAATCACAGGAAAGGGATCGGACTACGAGCAGGTAGGTGCTGGGCTGTTGCTGGAAGCTGCAGGTCGGCAATCTCAGAAGAGAGCTCTGCTGGTTGGAGGAGAAGAGCTAATGAAGCTGTTTGTGCTCCCAGTCAATGCCTATTAAACTGTCCACAACTAGTTAGACCAGGTTGCCAATGTCCTACAGCATAATAGCCTGTTGGATAAGAAATAAAAGGGTCTGGCTGACTCTCCACTTGCCCTGTCAAAACCCAATCAGTCAATCATCTGAAGAGGGATGGAAGTGGAGAGTTAGGACTTGCATCATTCCAAGGAATGTCATTCCTGCTTTCATTAAATTAAAGCTGATCTATATTGTCATTTGCCATCGGAATTATTAAAGTATTTTTCCCCTTCCCTGCTTTCCTCCCAGGTGTCAGTGCTACAGTCAACAACCACAGCGACACTTCAGCTATCTCACAGGGTTGCTTCAGGGCTTGGAGACTTACAGTTGATGTGAGGAAAATGCTCACTGAAGGACCAGCAAAGGAAATGATATAGCATTTTATAAAGCAACTTTTTTAACTTCCCAGGTAGGCAGATGAGCGGGCTATGATCACTCCTGAGGCCCAGCAGCATTTAAATGGACTATCACATGCATCCCTGCCTTCTTCGCATAGGTAGCAACACCGTTTTCCCTTTGCATTTGTACCTTCCGCTTCCCAGCCAACATGAAATAAATCATTTTTGTGGTCCTAACTCAGGTAATTAGTCAACAAACACTATTGATGAAGTCAATGAATGAAAGAAACAGCAGACAAATTTGCTAATGAACTCCTTGAGGACAGTGCACAAAGAAGCAGCAATTTGGCCCTCTTGACCCCCAGTGCTGGTTTAATTTCACAACCTGACCATTCAAAACCTCCTACACAAGCTCAGTAACACTCGTTCTTCCAGTTCTGCAGTCACGAGTTTAACCGCGGAAAAAATCCAAGGAGAGAGATATTTTAGAAACCTTTACAATGATCTAAAATAGCTCTTTGATGCATAGCAGATGTCTTCAAAACTAGCATAAATGGAGCCAAAATGCCTTACAGTTCTGGAAAAGGGAGATTCCACGATAAGACGTGTTTCTAACTGCAACAGCTCTGGAATAGATTTGGAATTTATATTAATTGTCAACCTCAAGGAAAACATTTAAAAGAAGCCCTTCTGTCCTCCATTTTGGGACAAGTGCTTTATTGGGCTACAAGATGCTCAAAGACCTGATGTCTGCCTGAAAGCAGTTCCTTTGTACCCGTAAAAGATAACAGATGGGCTGAGATGGGGAAAAAGAGAGAGAAACAAGCAGTGAGACATGGAGGTGACAGACTGGGAACTGCCTGCCCTTCATCCCTGGCTCTGGTTGGTTGGGGAGGGAGTGCTTGGCAGGCTGCACTGTAGAGGGGAGAACTGAGGATGGATTGGAAGGGGGTCAGTGAGAGGACGCTGAGGGATGCTAACAAGGCAACATCTCTGAGACACACAGGATGGAAGAAAAAGAGTGACAGGGCGTGCTGGAAAACTGAACAACAGACCCAGTTAAACTGACCCTGGAATCAAATGGGGATGGGATTCCCCAGTTCCGTTGCTCACCAGAGGGGATAGCCAGAATGATTTGCTCTGAGAAGCCTTTTTAAAAGGGAGAAGTCTGTGTCTGATACAATGGAGTAGGTGGTACAACTGGAAAAAAAACACACAAAGCACGAACATGCAGCCAAAGTGATGAGTCAGGACAAGAATCTTCTTATTAGCGCTCTGAACAACACATCTCATGTGTACCAGGCCTTAGTTTTCAAAAAGATTTAAACTAGCATGCTTGTAACGCCTTTACCTTGGACAATGCTAGGCTGTGTGCTCACAGAATAACTAGGGAGTGTCTCCTACTTAAATACAAGAAAGAATTAGATGGAGGATTGAAAGATTGATGCAGCAGTAAGATGAAAGATTTGATATGAAATAAAACTTGAGAGCAGAAATGCCAGAGCTAGAAGATTCTATATGTATAATTAAAGGTGAAAAAAATAGGGTCTATTGCCCTATATATGCAAATAGTACAGTCATGCTTAACACTGAAAACAGCAGAAGAGGAAAGTCAGGTAACGATGATGATACCACAGAGGAGTAGTGTTCCCTTCATCAGCTTTGATTCTCCCACCTCTTCCTGGCAGTCTTCCCCTGCCTTCCTTCTTTTAGTATTGCAAGAAATGTGCCAGAAATACAAAGCACATATAAGTGAAAGCTCAGGAGGACGTTGGTTTGGCTGAAGGGGTGAGACAGGAAATCTGAGTAACCCCAGTTTGAACCACAGGCCCCAAAACCAGGGCCTTCTGGATGCAGCCCTTGTATTGAGCTCTGTTCCAAAGTGTCATTCTGTCTTTCTTTCTCCGACCTTCTTTATGCAATGCTCTCCCCTTTTCTGGCTGCTGAATTGCAGTACATAGCTTGACTGCCTGTAGCACATACAGAAAGCTTGTACTCTGCCTACCTCAAACCCTCTTTAACCCTTTACATATATGGGAGTATCACAGAAGACTATTTATATGGATATGAATATTCATATTAAATGCTGTCCCAACACATTTTAGATGAAAGAATATCTGATGGCAGAAGAAATCAAGTAAAGAGTTCTTCTCTCCTCAAAGGACATGATACAGAGGAAAAGAAACTTACCTCTTTCTCCCATCCTACTGATAACTCTTTATGGGGTGAAGGTTTGATTGCAACCCAAGCTGCTAATGCCATGGAGTCTGACTACTGAAAGGATATTTTCCCTCCAAGCTTGCTACATCCTTGAGCATGGAAGGCAGATAGCAGAACAAAGCCAGTGAGTTCTCCTTTATTCTGTCTCCACCCTGCTCTTCACTCATCTTGCAGATCAAATGCCTTCTTTACTCACCTCATGAGACATAGAAAGACTGTTTGCCAAAGCAGAGCGTAATATGAAATCACCCATGCCACTGTTTGCCTCTCCCTTTTAAGGCAAATCAGTGAGAAGCAAATGCCATGGCTTTCAGAAAGAACCTCTTCTATGTAACATCTAAACAGAAATCCTTTCCCCTCTCTCTGGCACCAGCAGTGTTTTGTCTCTACCACCATGCTGTGCATTACCAGCAGTAGAAATTGAGACAAGTAGATGAAGACCAAAGCTAAATAGAATTACAGGTCCAATTCTGTAGCATCTACTGAAGTAATTTCATTTGTTCCCTCAGACAACCTGGTTATCGTGCCTGGGAAATCACACTGCAAAACAAGCTTGCAGATTCTTGCCACTTTTTTACAGCTGCCTGTTTTGCTACTGAAATTTTCTATTCATGTTGGAAGAGAAGCAAAGTACTGTACAGTTCACAAAACACCAGCACAGTCAAGTCCAGTTGAGTTTCTTACCTGTTGGGGTGAGGTGTCTCCAGGTGATGACAGGCTCAGGACGCCCATTTGCCATGCAAACCAAGGTCACGTTGCTGCCTTCATTCACGGTGATGTCCGAAGAGATATTGGAGATCTTTGGTGGAACTGTGAAGACAAATGAAAGTTAGATCTCGTTATCCAGACTTCTGGATGACAGCCTGTCTGACTCATTAACTTACCTACCTATTAACCAGAGGCAGCCACAGACTCCTCTCAAAGGCTGCACTCCTCATTACTACCTGGGTTTCTGAAATTATATCACAACAATATGGACCACTGCCTCAAGGATCTGCAGGTAGAAATGGCCTTTTGCTGCAACTGTGATGCTTTGTGTTCGAAGAGGTTTGGGGGCCTTCAAAAAATAACCTCTAGGAACTTGCCTGACTGGCCCAAGGCTGCAAAGGAGGAGTCAACAGGCTCTAAGAACTGTCCCAGATGCAGTTCTACGTCCTCCTGCCAGGTGCCAGGCCTCAAGGCATTGACTCAGAAAGTGTATTACTTATTGCTACCTCCCACGGGCAGATAGAATCCATGCTGCTAGCGAGGACCCTGCTCCGCAGCTCACGTAACCAAACGCTCACTGGGAATTGAACCGGAGAGCTGGGAAGCTCATTTCTGTTGCGACCGCCATAATGAGGCGAGAAGCTGGGACATGTGCCATGGCTAATGGGAATTCGCTGAGGGAAGGCACAATGGTGACAGTGGGGAGGTTTCTGCAACACCCTTCAGCCAAGATGGATCCCCATGGGCTGCCCGTAGTAGGTAGCTTCTGGCTGATTGCACCTCACGCGGCACAGCGCGAAAAGCTTGGCAAGGTCTTTAAAGAGTCACAAGACCAGACATGGCTGAGCCATTCAGGATCCTTAAAGATCTTCCAAGCTAACTGAGTTTGTGTCAGGACCAAAGTGACCACGCTGGGACCTGAAGAGGTCTCCAGGTACGCGGAACGTGCAGTATATCAGCCTCCAAGCAGATCAGGCTGTTGCAGTCTTTCCTCTCTCGCATACATGTCTTGCTTCCACGCTTCACACCCTGGAGATAGCGAGGGAGTTTGACTAAAAAGGAATCTTCTGCTTTTTTTTTTTTTTTTAATTTTTATTTTTTATTATATTTTCAGCTTCTGAATTTGTGTGTAGCGAGGAATGAAACAACATCATTTTCTGCTTTGCTTACCACAGAGTAAACAGACAGCAGCCTCCCCTTCCCCCTCCTTGGCAGGACTGGCTGATGGTACTTTTGAGGCAAAGCTGCCTACAAGCGAGGTGGGGAAAAGGAAATGAAGCCTGAAGAGAGCAGCTCACCACTTCCAGCTGTGTTGCTGGATTTACAGGAATATTTTTTTATAACCCACAGCTCATTAGCCCCTCTCTGTAGGCCCCAAACTCATGGAAAATACTTCAGCATCTATGACCATGGGACCCCCTTGGAGGAACAGGACTTGTCAAACAAAGTGAGGCAGACATGTCTTTGCTAACAGGCCCACTCACCTAAGCAAGGAGGTATCTCAGATAGGCATGTTGGGGAAGGATTACCATAATTTGAGAAGGGATAGCATGGAGGGCAGTGCGCGTCTGGGGGACAACCCAACAGGGAAGGCTTCTGCACTCCACTTGTGAAAGCAGGACAGCTGGGGACCCGTCTCAAACGCCTGTGCACCAACACAAGTAACGCAGTGAAAAAAACAGGAGGAATTAGATGCTCATGCAGATTCGCAGTGCTATAAACCCATTGGGGTGATGAACCTGTGGTGCGACTGCTCTTGGGACTGGCAGTTCTGTGTGGGATAAATACAGGCTTTTCAGGAAAGACAGGCTGGAAAGGCAAGGAAATGAGGTGCAATTTCTGCAAAAGCGTGGTTGGAATCCACCCATCTCTGGGCGATGAACTAGCTAGGAGATCAGGCATAAGGATCGGAGGATATCACAGTGCCACCCTTGTTGGTCAGTGTCTGCTACCAACCATTTGATTAAAAAGAGGCAGTGGACAAAGACTGCTTTAGACAGATAGAAGTAGCCTCACAATCACAGTTCCTGGTGAGGGATTTCAAGTACCCTGATACTTGCTGGAAGGGTGAAAGTGCTGCGCTCAAGCAGTCCGGGGGACACGGAGGTCCAGCAAGTCCAGTGTGAGTTAGCAGTATGCCCTTGCAGCAAAGACCAAGTATCCTGGCTTGCGTTAGCAAAAGCATAGCCCCATAAGTGGAGGGAATTGATTATATCCCTTTATATGGTGCTTGTTGACAGCATCTGAAGCGCTGCACCGTGTTTGGGCTCCCCAGTACAAGAATACCATTAACGTACTGAGGCAAGTCCACTGGAGGGCTCCCAAGATGGTCAGAGGACTATAGCACATGATGTACAAGGAGAAACTAAGAGAGCTGGGTCTGTTCAGCCTGAAGTAGAGAAGGCTGAGGAGAGATCTTATTGCTGTCTACAAATAGCTAGTGGGAAGGCACAGAGAAGACAGAAGCAGGCTTTCCTTGGAGGTACACAGTGAACAGCAAAAAGCAACAGAAATGAGATGCTACATGGGGAAAATTCTGACTCAAAATGAGGAAAAAGCTTTTACTTTGGAGATGTCAAAAGCAGGAAGAGGTTTCCCAAAGAGGTGGCAGAAATTCCGTCTCTGGAGATACATAAAACTGCCTGGATGAGGTCTTCAGCAACCTGCTTTAACTGGCACCAGGAAGGAAGGAGAAGGGACCTTGGAAGCTGGTGTGCTGTTCAAGAGCTAGAATTGATGGCTGATCAAGGCATGTTGGGGGAACAGTTGACTGCACCAGGGTCCCCTTCCCTGAAAAGGAGGAATTTCAGAGTAAAGACACATCCCTAGCAGAGCAACAATGGGTAAGGCAAAGCACAGCAGAAAATCAACCCCTTCCTCTCAAAGCAAAATCCCCTGATGAACACAAGTCCTGCTACATTTTACATTGGTGATTCACCATGAGCCATTGGCAACGTGTCCGTGCATGTAGGAAGAGGTAGGAGGCAACAGAACAAAACAAAATATATGTTGTTGGAGAACACTGATGTTGTCAAAGGATTCGATCCCACCATACTGAGAGCTACATGAGAGTTTCACTGACTATAGATCCATTTCGTGCCTCCTCCCTTTTTATTACACCCCTTCTGCACAGCAAATGCCTGGCAGTACAAAACAACAGTCACACAGTGGTCTTGGAAAGTAAGCAAATACTTTTGCCAGCCAACACCACAAGACTGCATAAAGGGCAGCAGAAAGGAAATACCCTAGTTGGAAAATTAAATACCCCACCTCCTCCAAGAGTTGCTTGTGGCTTCATGTTTCACGGCACACCAAAGCAGAAAGGCAGCTTGCTGCACCATGCTGAGATCTGGCTCAGCATGGAGTCCGCAGGACTCAGAAGCACTTTTTCCTCCTCCTTTCTGCCCCATGGGATGAGGAGAGTCCCCTGTCTCACGGCTCAGGGCAGGCAGACCCATCGCTCCAGCCAGCAGAGCGGCAGGCAGGGAGAGCCCTGCAAGTTTGGGTGCAGAAATCCAAACCGCTACTCTTACTACAGGGAACAAATAAATTTGGAGGGCTACCTCAGTCCTATAGCAGCACAGCTATCTTTAGTACATACTGTGTTTCAGATTTGAGAGCAACACACACTGGAGGGGACAGAGGGGCTTAGTCTCGGAAAGAACAACTGAGGCTGCTATTTCTGCAAGAGTTGTGTCCGAGCTGCTCTGTCAGGGGACACAAGGCTGGTGACTTCAGAGCATCCTCAGCACAGCTTCTCCATGGTGTGCTGGCAAACATGAGTAAGCAGAGCCCAGGAGTAAAACCAGTGGCTAGACCATATTTGGGGGATTTTTATCTTAACCGCAAGGGGTTAACATTTGCATCAGGAAAAAAAAGTCATACAACAAACCAAGAAGGACTAAGCTCAAGCAGGACTAGCAGATGGAGCTGTAGGCCAGTCCAAGGTTCTAGCAGAACGGTGCATTGACAGCCAAAACGGCTGAGGAGAGAGCAGAGAAAGCCACTACAGGGCACCAGCAGCAGAACTGCAGTTAGGACATGTGTACCCTGCCATTTTCCAAAGCTGTCAAGTCATTCTAGTTCGCAGAGGATCAAGTAAACTCAGCAAATACAAATAGCTCTGACCATGCCGACCAAATGCCCAAGAGGATGAGCATGTGTCCAGATGGTCGTATCTGGCTTGCCACCTTTTCAGATGAGCGAGAAAAGGGCATCCAAGGCTGAAATCCTGTTAGGCGTATAATGGCTGGTTCCTTTCAGCTGCCACCTTGGTCAGAGGGCAAAGAAGGGCTGAGAGGAGGGGGGAATAGGGCAGGAAACAATTTCCCTGTGAATTTCAAACCTGGTTTGGCTTTGCCTGCTTAGAATACAAAGCCAGCTAGCATTAAAAATGACTGGATCCTAGTGGACAGTAATTTCACTCAGATAAAAAGTCAGAGACTTTTAATTTTCAGGGTGTCAAGCCAGCATGTTAAAATGCCAAAACTGTCAGCACCAGGAACAGTTAGCATTGCCTCCTTGGCACTTGTCATTACTTTGCACACACCCTTTTAGGACAGTCTTAAAATGAGAAGCTTTGACCTTATTATTTTTTCCCCATGTGTAGGTTGTGTTACGTTTTCACAGTTCCCAGACTGCTGGAAGGAGGACTGCTGAGAATAAAACCTCCTGGGACCAGGATCTTTGGGGTGTCACAACCTCCTTTTGCCCAGCCATCTTTTGTTGACCCTTAACTGGAAACCTGTTTTGTTTCTGGCCTCTCTGAACCATTAACACAGGCAAAACAACAGCCTGCAGACCCACAGCAGGGGAAGCACTACAGCTAAACAGGACTTTCAGGTGTATTCATATTCAGCCTAACAACTTGTCCCTCCAGGGGAGACCAGGCTGTTGCTGGACCCTTCTGGCTTCAGGGACCATGGGAAAGCACTGTCAGGCTCTCTGGTAATGCTGAAAGAGATAAAATCACGAGATTTTTTCCTCTCTTTCAAGCATAAATGTAATATGAGGTATCCATTACCTTGTGCTTAGGATCTCCCTGGATGGGATGGGGAGGACAGACCGATATGAAAGCAAGCACAGTGTGGCAGCCCTCTACT